TCCAAGAATGTAAAAACCTGGGAGTCATTTTTTGACGGATCGCCATACTTTCCCTCTGTATAACAGCCAGAAAAGTAAAAATTACAATTGTAACTGCTTTTCTTTTTACATTAGCTTTTTATTTATTTTTAACTGTTTTTGGAGTTGTGTTTTATTATTTATTGTTAATTTTGAATTTTTGTTTTTATTCTGTTTGTTTTTAAGAGGGTGGTAATTTCATACCGAATGGTATTACCTATAGAATATATAAATAAATAATAGAAGAATATAATAAAACGTATAAATAAATAAATTATCTGTGAAAGTATATGTTTTTGTCATTGACAGCCTTGATGTTCATGATAAGCAATACTTAATTAGACTTAGCTTTGTTATATACTATGTATCTTTGTGAATGTACATTTATATGAAGTATTTCACTAACTGAAATAACCTATTCAAATTAATTTGATAATACAGTATTAAGATTATTAATTTGTTGCTGGAACCACAACTGGACTTGTTAGAAAACTTCTTTGGAAAGGAATTTGAAGGATCAATTTTTATATGGTAGTATTACGATGAATAAATGGCATCATTGAATCAACAATGCGTTTTCCTAAAGTCATCGTGTTCTCCAAAAGCGCTTCTAATGGATACAATGTGTAAGCGATGAGTGGTGATGTATTTCATCAATTAGTCGTCGGATCATCGTGTCTGAGTAATGACGCGCTCAATGAATAGTTTCCTAAACTAACTCGGTGGTGACGTCGCTACATCTAAACCAATTAGCTACCGATGAGTTTCCATGACAACTTTAGGTACAGTATAATAAACTAAATACTAAATGTTTTTGCCACTATCGAGAGAAGAGAGGCAAGATAGACTATAAATAGGTTCGTAAGATACGAGTAAAATGGCAAAATTTAGTCAACTCCGGGATTCAGAAAAGTTAAGATTTAAACGAGTACCTCCTCTGATAGTAATAATAATTCCTGACATTTTTGGAAATATTACGAACTCTAAGATTTTTCTTTTATAAAAAATATGAATAAATATTATGAATATATATAACAATATCATGCTATGTATATTCAACACTTTTCGAGTGTGAATAATTAACAATAAAGACAACATAAAAAGTTAAATTCTTACCTGCCGCATCGTTTCGAACAGGATACAAAAATAAGGAATGAAGATTATGCTTTTCTCTGTACCCATCGATTGCCATCAACGCACCAAAAAAGAATATTTGGTACATATAATCGAATAACACGGATATGGCGCTGTATATACTGAAGATACGAATAATTCTAAAAGGAGTTATAACTCCTAATAGGAATGATATAAAATTGGTTAATGAAGTTATCGTTATGGAAATAGAAACATCAGAAAAGGTTTCACTCATTCTTTGTTTGACGCTATGGTTCTTATTCGTTCTTCTCCACGCAGCTAACAAAACGAAAGAATCGTCCATTCCGATACCTTGAAAAACAAATTTAATTAACTTTTCCACTTAGGTGTATACAACATTAAAATAATACAAAATACAAACGAGCAATTATTTATTGCGACATCGTCAATATGCCACAAAAGCTGCAATTTTTAATCATATTTTTAATTAATTTAATTTAAAATACGCTCTCCATTTCAAATTAACTTGTCCTTGTACATCATTTTTTCCTTTTCTAATAGAGTCTTGCTGGTTAACTATTCAGGGAAAAAATTTGAATTGAAATAACGTGACTTTTGGTTTGCATCGGAAGGTCATGTATAGGTATTCGGGGACTCTAGTCTCGTCTTTCATCTTTCTAACTCTTTTATCGAGATTAAAGAAAGACGGACAGACAGACGACAGTGGAAATGTATAGCTGTACAATTTTTTTAAATTGCAACAATAAATTATCTGGACAAAATAATTACATATGTAAAGGAAACACTAAATTAAACAAATAATTTTTTTATCTTTCACCCTTCTTCAGATTTCCGGGATCCAATAATTTATTTATAATTGTAATAAGTATTTTTCATTGTAGTATTATTTGACGAAAATTTTTTTAAAGTCATACAGAGAGAGGATTTTGAAGCATAAATTAATTTGTTATAACATCAACATTAAACAATGTAGTTTCGTGCATATTAATAAGGTATTAGCAAATAAATATGTAAATGAGCTACTGCTTGATATGCGTCATCATGAATCATTCCAGTGAGAAAAAACTGCGAACAAAACTTTTTCTGTTGAGAAAACAGTGTTAGAACTTGGTGTTGGAGTGTATCCAGAATAAAAAATAGTGATCTGCCATATCGTGAAATTTTAAAAGCTGGAAGGAAGTAAACGTTGATCGCCAAAAACAGAAAAGCACAGCATACGTTTGATAACCAGTGGATGTTGCGATACATCAACACAAGTAAAGAGGGAATTGAAACATGGCTTAGAAATAAAAGTGTGTATTTGAACTACGCGCAGATGCGTGAAACTTAACAATTTGAAAGTAAGAGTTAAGCACAAGAAACCTACACTTACTAAATTACATAAGTAGAAATGTCGTAATTTTGCCAAATGCTGGACCCTAGAAGATTGGAAGAGGATTATATAGTTAGATGAATCCAAAATTAATAAAGTTGATTCAGATGGGCGAAAATGAACATGGACTACATTGATGAAGTCTATAACTGAGCGACATTGAAATTTGATAATGTAGTCTGGGGCTATATTACCTATTTTGGGCATGGAATGTTATGTTCTATACATAATAGAATGGATAACGTTATTTACACTGAGATACTTGTCAATTATTTGTTACAATCTGTTGATTATTACCATATTGATAGGAGCTCTTTCATTTATCAGCAAGATAATGATTTAAAACGTAGGCTTACATTCAAGAGGACAATGTCATGGCTTCGGGATCAAAATATTAGTCTTCACTCAAGCAGGCTAATATTTTGATTTCGAAGCCATAACATTGCCTGTTCCTGAGTGGCCTCTTCAATCACCCGATCTCAACCCGATTTAACACATCTGATACCTTCTTAATTTAAACGTTGGTTGTATGACTATGCAGCTTTGCATGAAAACATCCACTAATTAAGAATATAAACTAAGTATGTTCTTAGTATACTCAGTAGAATCTTACTTAGTATTCTAAGTAAGAATATATAGAGTACACATCTTTTAAAGCTCCTCATAAAAAAAATACGCGAGTTCCAGACACTTCACCACAATGTAAACACAATGTAAACTTCCACTAGTAATGGCACATACAGATATAAACACTTCCGAATTTATGTATCGTACATACGTTCGTTTGTAACACAGAAACGGATCCATTTTGTGATCTACCAAAACTGGAAATAACGATACTTTGTGAACTGCTAGGCATTTACCTACTCAATCTTCTATATAACAGCTAGTAAGAACATAAAAAAAACACTGTTGATTATTTCCTTTCATATTAGAAGTGTTGTTCTTAAATTGGAAATGCTCACTTTTAATGACAAACGTTCGTTCACTTACGTAAATACTGTATTTCTATTATTATAAGCGACGTTCTTTTTATTTTTTGCGATACTGGGATTAATTTTTTTCAAATTTTACTGCTCTTCGGAAACTTGTCACCTAGTTTTGAATTTTTGTTTGTTTACTAAATTTGTTTTCTGCATTTAAAAAAAGTTTTCGTTATTTCCTGATAAGATGTTCTTATTTTCTGCAATTCTTCGCTTAAATAGAGATAGTGTAATGAAATTTTCTCTTGCGAGATTTCAACTTAAAACAATTGTTGTTGGCATTTATAATTTTTTAAAAACTCATTGCTATTTCCTAAAAATGAGTTTTTCCTGGTCTCCTTTCTCTTGTTCCGGTGCCGAAAAACTCGTGAAAGAGCCCTTGCCAGTTCTTATATAATAGTANATTAATTTTCATTATAGACAGCTTTATGCCTCATAAAGTATTTTTCTGAGGTCTGTCTTATCAGGTAAATTACTGTACACAGTGTAATTATTAATTTTCATTTTCATGTAGTAAAGGCTGTACGCCTTCATAAAGGATGTACTTTTCCTTTGTTTAACGGTATTTGGGTAGTTTATTCTCTGTTGTATTCTCAAGTAAACAATACATACAAGTACAGTACAGTATTTTCTGAGGAAACACTCATACTTATTTTTCTTAACCCCATTCCTGATAACCCGGTATTTTCACAAACTCGGCCACCCTTCGGTCCACATTATGCCGAGTTTTCGAGACTCTACTGTACTACAAATGAATGTATTCGATCGTTAAGTATTCTTGATCAAGACGTTTCTGGATCTGTAGTGCTAATTGTTTATTTAATTACTGTAAAATTCCATAAAATATTAGAGGTTAATGGGAACACTTTAAACGCTAGAAATCTTGCTTACTTTCCTGGAGGATCATCACACGAGAATTCTTCAAACCAGTAAACCTCAACCTAAGGAACATACAAATGTTTCGTAGCCAAAAGTGACGTCATTAGTATTTAGTAGTAACATTTGCTTTCTTTGTAAGCATGAACACTCGTTATCTAAATGTTCCAAGTTCTTGCAGTTAGGCGTTCAAAAAAGGATAGTAATAAGGAATAAAAAACTGTTTAATTGCCTAGCTGCTCGACACAAAGCTAACAACAGTAGGAATCCAAATAGGTGTAGAATATGTAACAAGTTGCATCATACTGTTTACACATCGAAAAGGATTCGAAGACCCGTTCGCCACTGAAAGATGGGAAAGCAACGAATTGCCTTCACCTGATGCTCCTGCCTTTCGACTGAGGTCACATGATTCAGTATATCAAACCGCTACAACCTGCACTGGAATTTTTAATTTTCCAAGTACACCTGGAATATATCTTAAAGGAAATAAAAGACAATGTTTAAAGGTGATTATCTGGAGAGAAAAGACGTTATTTGTTCCAAGCTTGGGTGGATTATTGCTGAAACGAACAGTTTTCGTTAATATCACAAATCAATCTACATTTTCTGTGAATAATATTCTGTTGAGTACCAAGTAGTTGAAATATTCTGAGCATTGGATTCAGACCCAGAGTTAAGAAAAATGTCAAAGTTGGATCAAGAGTATGAAGATTATTTTCGAAATCCATTTTCGTGATAAAAGTGGACGTTATGTTGGGGGACTTTAGTTTAAACAGTGTTCATCACGTTTGGGCTACTCGAAGCAATTGGCATTACAGCAGTCCAAAGCCTTAGAATATAAACTTACTAGAACACCAAAAAACACATAAATTATGTTAGGAGTTTATAAAAAAGTAGGCCTACTTCGAACTAGGCCACATGGAATTAGAAATTGTGTGATTCTACTCGATCAACTATTATATTCCGTATCATTGGATCATGAAAGAATCTAGCTCAACTATAACGTTACGCGTAGTCGTTAATGCATCGGCTAAGTCGTCTTCAGGAGTGTCGTTGAATGACACTTAAACGGTAGGTCCTAGGATTCAACAGGAACCCTTTCCAATCCTGTTGAAGTTTAGAATTTTTTCAATTGTCATTACCGCTAACGTTGTTACAACAGATAATTCAGTGAGTATAGGCTGAATTCAGTGAACATTTATCCTCGTAAAAATGAATGGTAGTAAATTTTTATAAATATACTTATAATTATTTTTATAGAAAATTAAATATTTAGTTTATACGCATAACTTCCTTCATTCATGAACCTTCTTATTATCTTTTGCAAACACTTTTGAAGGTTTACTTTACATAATATACAGTAGACCCCCTATAACGCGGGTTCCTATAACGAAGATTCCTATAACGCGGCAAAAAAATTGCGACAATATTCGTATAAAGACGCTAAAAGGGACGCGTAAAAGGCGGTAAAACGTCATCGCCAACTCATCATCGCGGACAAACAGCCGAACTACTTTCCGCCGTCCAGCTCCACGCTACGGAGAGTTTAGGCGGGTAAGTTGAGTTTACTATCGTTTGTACAGTATTATATATAAATTAGGTACTGTATATATAATTATATATTAACTTAATTTATTTTAACTTTATTATAATTATATGTATACTTTCCGCCGTCTAGCGCCACGCTACGGAGAGTTTAGGCGAGTAAGTTGAGTTTACTATCGTCTGTACAGTATGTAAATTAGGTACCGTAAGTCTAATACAG